TTAACCACTAAGAAGAATATATGCAGTGTACTATTTGTTGAAACTGTACTTCCGATTTGATTTGAAACTGTCTCATTGCTGTTTATCAATAAAACTTTGGAAAAAAAAAAAAGGAAAGAAAAAAGAATGCAAGCAAGCAAGATTCATAGCCCCACAGAGTGGCGCAGCCCTACTGTCCCAGTACTCAGGAGGCTGGGGCATACAGATCACAGGTACATGGCCAGCCTAGGCTATGAAATGAGACCCTGCCCCAAAACCAGGGTGGGCACTCTATAGGTTGGATCCCCAGTACTGCAACAAAACAAAATAAAAACAGGCCAATAAATATGACTTTGAAGCCAAATGAACACCGAGGTTGTCCTATTACAGAAAGGAAAAAAGAAAAGCAAGCAAACAACAACAACGAAAAACCTTCCTACAAGACAATGGAAAGGGCTGGGAGACAGCTCAGGCAAGCTCAAGGTCCTGGGTTCAATCCCCAATACTGGAAAAGGCACAATGCAAAGAAATTTCAAAAAGTGGAATTCTGTCTTTTTCTTCTATTTTTCAGCAGGAAAGCAGTACTGGGATTAAACCCAACACCTTGCACATGCTAGACAAGTACTCTACCACTAAGCTACCTCCCCAGCCTTACCTTCTTACCTATCCATTTACCAATCTGCATCTATTGACAGGCTCTCGCTAAGCTGCCCATGCTAGCCTCATACTTGAGTCTTCCTCTAGTCACTAGGACTGCAGGTATAGACCACAATAGCTCTAATTTCATTTTAATTAATTTAAACAGATGTCTCTAGTGGCTACCATAATGGACAGTACAGCTTTCAATTTCCTAGTTTACTTGATCTCTTTTAATAAAAATGAAAATCAATTGAATTTTTCTTTTTTTTTTTTTCTTTCCAGGAATCAACCTCAGGATCTTGTGCTTACCAGGCAGGTACTGCACTTTGGAGGTACATCCCTGGTCCTGAACTTTTCAGTTAATGGATATTTTAAAATGAGGCTTTAAGGGCCAGTGAGATAGCTCAGCAGACTAAAGTGCCTGCTTTGCAGAGCATAGCAGCCAGGGTTCAATTCCAGCATGCTATGCCAGTCCCTGTCCCAGAACCTGGGAGGCTGAACACAGAAGAATTACTATGCGTCCGATCTATGTAGTGAGACCCCGCAGAACTTGTACTGAATACATTTAAAAAAAGAAGAAACAATCACTTAAAAAATATATAAAAATAAAAAATGATGCTCCAACGTAAAAGCTATTCCTTAAGGAATTAACCAAGAATAAACACAGAATACTCAATTCTTATCCCTGAAGTCTAAAGGACACTAAGAATGAGAATTCAGTATTATAGTTGCCAATAGCATATTCCAAAACTACCATTCAGCTCCAAAGAAGGAAACACAAGGGGAAGCTCAGTCCAACAGGCAGACGAGGCAAAGCCTGCATCATCTGGGCCTCGCGGTGCTCTTCTATGAGCAGCAACAGGGGCTCCAAGAGGACTGGGACATTTTAGTACATGAACTACTAATCAACACAAATACCTAGGTCTCTTGTCTAAATACAGAGATGCAATTTTATTACCACATCCTTAATAAAATCCCTAACTTCATGATAAATTTGATATGCATTTTCTCCTTATCCATAGTCACCTGCTACAAAACATTTTGTTCAACAAGGGACAGGACGTATGACAACAGTCCTTATAGGACTATATCTTATAGACTGCATCTCCTAGTGACATCACAACTGTCTTAGCTTGTGAGTACTTGTTACACAACAACGCAAGAAACAACACAGTTGTCAGAATGCATCCTACCACCAGCAGCACATAGACATAACTGACTGAAAAAGCAATCTATGCTAGTGTTACAGGAGACTATGTAACTTTAACATAAAGTTAACTTTATGTAACTTTACTACCTCACTAGCAGTTTTTTAACAAGTCTGTACTTAAGAAACTGCTTGTTTTCTGGATGAGCTGTTGATAAAGTGAAAGAAAAAACGTTTAAAAACAACAGGGAGGGGGGGGTCAGGGAGAGATGGCTCAGTAGAATAAGCCCTTGCCTGGCAAGTGCAAGGGCCTGAGTTCAATCCCTGGTTCCGCAAAAAAAAATAATAATAATAATAAAATAAAATAAATTAAAAATACATTATCAGGCCAGCCAAATAGCTCAGCGGATTAAAGCACCTGCTTAGGCAGACGCAGCCCTGAACCTAGGGCAAGCTGAGATTGGGCATGGTGGTGTCTCCCTGTAATCCCAGCTCTTGGGAGGCCAAACACAGGCAGATCACTACAAGTCTGATCTACATAGTGAGACCCTGCAGACCTTATAGGCCCTATATTAAAATTAAAAAAAAATAATAACTAAAAAACAACAAAAAAGCAACAATATCAAATAATCAGTATTTATGATGCAGATTAACTTTGAATCTCAATAAAGAATTCTAATTATATGACAACAAAACTAAGTTTTACAAATCAGGTACAAACTATATACCAGCAATCTACTACACGATCAACAATTCCTATTTCATAAAAGGTTAACCAGGGCTGGTGAGATGGCTCAGTGGTCTAAAGCACCTACTTAGAACAAGCTAAGCTAAGCAAAGCACAGGGACCGCGGTTCAATCCCCCAGCACCACATGCCAGCCAGCCCCGCCCCCTGGTGGGTTGAGCTGGCCACACACACACACACACACACACACAAAATAAATAAATAAATATTAACCAAAGCCAGTTTTCTTCTTTCCTCTCCTTCTTGCCTTGTTTTCTTTCTTTTTCTTTGCCAGAGAGCAAACTTCCTTATGCCCCTCTAACCAACACCAACAGCTGCAAGACACTTGGTTGAGATGTAAATGGAGTTTGAAAAGCAGCGCGAAATGCACACCTATAAGCGTATGACTGCGGGCAGTCACTGCGACGTGTGAGCAGTACATGACTTACACGTTCCGTTTATTCCACTTGAGAAATAAAAATATTTTTGGGAGCTGATTTTTTTTTTAAAAGACTATTTCTACAGATTTTAATGCTAGATATTTTTTATCCATTAACAATTCTAATTAAAGAGATGCTAGTAAAAATCAACACTAATGATCTTCCATATTTCTAAGAACCATCTGTTGGTTTGCTAAGCCAAATTAGGGGAAAAAAACATATTCAAACTACCCTTCACTAAAAGAACAATCAATTTCAAAGAATAGAAACAAAAACAACTATAAAATAAATATACCCGAAACACACTATCACAATGTAGTGTGTTAAATTCCACAATGTACCTCCCTCTAGTAATAAATACTACTGGGGGGCCGATGGGTTAGCTCAGTTGTGTAAAGTACCTTCTTTAGCAAAATCAGTCAGGGGCAAGGGACTGTGGTTCGATCCCCAGCACCACCAGACCCGCCATTAAGGCAGCCTGAGCTAGCCAAAAAAGAAAAGTAATAAATACTACCAAGTTAAATACACACACAAAAAAATAAATAAACAAATAAAACACTATGGAGATCTATTTTCCACAAGCCTACACAGGATGGAGTAATAATCCAGTAAGCGGACTAACAGAATAGCTTAGAGGTACAATGCCTGCTAAGCATGCTCAAAGCCCTGCATTCAAATCCCAGCACCAAAAAGAAAGAAGCTAAAAACATTTTTACATAATGTTGGTAAAATTTTACTGAACACTTTGCCAGTATTCTAAAACATTTACTTTGCTAAATATTACTAACATGCTCAACTGAAATGCTTATGTTATTAAGCAAAAGTAGGCTACAAGATGATATGGTATGTCAACCAGTACGTCTGCTCTTTATTCCAGAGATAAAGAGTACACTGAAAGCACTGTTTTGTTTTGTTTTTTGTCTTTTTGAGACAAGGTCTCACTATTCAATTCGGGCTGGCCTTCAGCATGCTTTGTAGCCCAGATCGGTCTTGAGCTCACGATGATCATCCTGCCTCAGCCTCCTGAGTGCTGGAACTACAGGCATGTGCCACCATGCCCAGCTAGCACTGCTTTTTTTTTTTTTTTTTTAAACTTTGTAAGATGAAAGAAGAGTCCACTTAAGAACCTGTTTAAAAAACAAGCAAACCAAAAAAACCCACCTTCATTTCTGTTTTTTTTCTCCTTTCTTTAAAGAACTTTTAGCATTTCTTAATATAGATACACATACTTCATAATACTTATTAGCATGTGTGTTTTGTCTAGTTGGACTGAATAACTTACTTGTTTTGTTGACTTTTTTGTGCCATTAAAAATTTTCCAAGCTAGCCCATTGCCACCACTGGCAATGTGTCGACCAACATCAAATTCCCGAGTGACAGGATTTCCCATGACAGCACTGGTGACATCAGCTGTTACTTTCGTAACAGTGCTCTTCAATTTATTAAGCATGGACTCCATGGCTGCAGTACTGGGTGCTCAGTTACCTAGAAAAAAGGATGTGAAAGAACTGATCATTTTCTCTCTCTGAACACTTATAATTTAGTTTGAAAAGCTTGACAGCTACTAACGGGTGAAACGATGTCACACAAAGTTGTATGCTACCTTTGGAGAGAACCCAATACCTTTTTAGTACAAATTTAAGTCTAGAAGCAAACTGTTTCTCTTCACCTCAGTTCTCATCAACCAGAAAAGGATAGAGTAGTCATACTTGGCGCTGACATGAAAGCTGAGAATGAACACTGCTGAACTTACACAACATAGATCTTTAAGACTTAAACTGAATTCTAAACCTTTACATCAAAAATATAAAGCCTACAAAGATCCAATGCTATCCTAAGAAATAAATGCATGTGTTATAGTTTATTTGCTATTAAAATACTACTACTGAGGGGCTGGTGAAATGGCTCAGTGGTCTAAAGCATCTTCTTAGAACAAGCTTAGCAAAGCACAGGGACCGC